GACCATTATTATTATTATTATTATTATTATTTTATTATTATTATGAAATATAAAAATAAATAAATAAATAAAAGTAAAATAGTGGAGTAATAATAAATGTGACAGTACCAAAGTAGATGATGACTGTTTGCATTGAATGGAAGGGCCCTCTTGTCTTTGTCCCACATTTCAATGTCACTTTTTGTACCATCTATCTATTTATTTATTTATTTTTTTTATCTATCCCTGTGGTAATGAAATAAAATTAAATAAATGTAGTTCGATGGCACCATATTTTCATTATATATACATTGAAATTTAATAATGGAATATTCATCGAGACCAAAGAATAGAAGATTAATTAATTAATTGAAAACAAAAATGCTACTCCCTCCATCCCATAAATATAGTTTTAATTAGGTTGGACACAACATTTAAGGAAAATTGATATTATATTGATAATTGGTAAAAAATAGTGAAAAATGAAAAAGTATGCGTAATTTTATGAATTGTTTTGAAATAAACAAAAATAGCAAAAAAGACTATAAATTATAAGATAGTCCCTCCGTCTGAGCATCTTTTTCTAGATAATATATATTGTATGATTTTAAAGAAAACTCGTCTGCATTAATTAATTAATTATATTGGGAATTGATTTATTTGACCATTGTATATTAATCGTTAATTCATGGAGTACTAAATTACTATAATTATTTTCGAAAAATTAATAATAATTAATGTTCATTCAACATTCGACGCAATATCCAAAGCAAATGCTGGAGACTTTGACATGGACTATATATATATATATATATCTTATCATAATTTTTTTATTATATTATCTATAAAAATATATATAATAGTATGTTTCTCCATAAAATATTACATTTCAAACACTAACTTAAACCAAAAAATAAAAAATAAAAAAGAATAAAAAATAAAGTTATTTATTATTTGAATATTTTTGGTTTGAAACACCACGACATTTCTTACACGACATCCATTTAAATTTTAATGTTTTTAAGAATAACCATTGTTGTTGATGCTCATTTAAATTTTTGATATTTAACGTAAAGTATTTATAAAAGATTAAAATATCTTACTTTATGTAATTATTGTAAAAAAATAAAAATAATTTTGTAAAAGATAAGAAGCTTTTTAGCCCATATCGAGAGTACCAACAAAACACGTATCGTAAAGAAATTTAAGCCCGTATAGTTCAAATTGGTCGCATTAAATGCGAGAACTATACGGCCTTGTTCGTTTGTACGTTTTCAATAAAAAAATATATTATTTCATAAATAATCCATATCACAGATTAATATATGTCCTTTAAATTTTGGTTTCAGATGTTGTATCATAATGTTAAAATTACCATTATTATATATATATATATATATCCTTAATAAATTGAAAAAAAATATATACTAATAATTAAGAATACATAACTTTAAAGGTCCATTTGGAATAGTTATTATGTCATTAAATGGTGACTATATATATATATATATACACATTGTATTGTATTCATATATCTTCATTTAAATTATTTCAAAATATTAATAATTCTTAAATTTTTTATTGAGGGGGGGGGGGGGGGGTGATCCTTAAAACTATCTTTTAAAAATTTTGACAAACAATTGATAATCACCATTATTGATCACTAGCACATGCAGTATGTAGTACATCGAAAATGACAATACACATTCATATGTAACTACTATATATAATTATAATGCTTATATATATATTTATATATTCTTTTACTTTAAAATATATAAATATATTTATATAAAAAATATAAACTCCCGACATTTAAATTTAAAAAAAAAAAAAAAAAAAAAAAGAAAGAAAGAAAGAAAGAAGAAGAAGAAGAAGAAGAAGCACCAAATCTACTAAAAACCTAACTCGTAGTTGAAGTGTCTTTCCGAATCAATTATGTTGAATAATTTAAATAATTGTTATCAGTAACGAAAGGTACTTGTTTATCAAATCAATAATAATAATAATAATAATAATAATAATAATAATAATTCTAAACATTGGTGTAGCACAAAGATCAATCGACACAGTATTTAATTAACTCTGGTTTATTTTGAATTTTTATATTTTAAATCATAACATAACTATTATATAGTATCTAGAAGAATGCTCTTATTATAATACTCCCTCCTTCTCGTAACAAAGTATCCATTTTTCCATTTCAGTCCTTCTCATAACAAAGTATTCATTTCCTTTTTTTCAGTAACTATACTATCTACCTAACATTACAAATACCCTTACAACTTACAATATATTACACAAATATCATTACCTTTATATCATACATACTAATAAGGTTATTTTAGTCATTTCTATTTTATTCATAGTATATCCCAATATAATACTAATATTTATAAAACTACGTGCAAAAAGCAAATTGATATTTAGTTCCGGGACGGAGAGAGTAATAATAATAATAATAATAATAATAATACTTCTAAACATTGGTGTAGCACAAAGATTAATTGACACAGTATTTAGGGTGAGTTTGATAATTAGGTGATAGCTTTTAACTGTTAGCTGATTCAATTAGCTGGTTTGACTAGCTGATTCAATTAATGTTAAATTATATGTTTGACATCAGGTGTTTATACATAAAATAAAATAACTATTAAGGACATTGATATTGATATACTATTTTTTAATTTTGTTCATTTTGGTTTGAAATTTATGAGAATTTTTATTATAAATTATTGAAAATTATAAAAATATTATAAAATATTTATTTTTATTTTTATTATTTAGATCCGAAAAAATTATTTTTACTAATATTGAAATTATGTAAAATATAAAATAATAAATCTTTTGTATATATATTTTTATTATGTTAATTATTGTTTTAATATATAAATAAATTAATAGCTTTGTTTTTTTTATTTGATTTAGTTTTAAAAATTTATATATATTATAAATAAAATAATTTACATGTAATAATTAATAATAGTAATTATTTTAAATTTACAAAAATAAAAATATAATTTAATAAATTAAATATATTAAAAATAATTAATAAATACTACTATATAATAAAAATATATTTATATGTATAAAATAAATAATTAAGTTTTAAGGGTAAATAAGGAATAACCAAAATTAAAATAAAAAGTTCTTTCAAAATGTTGGGTAGATGAGCTTTTCAGAAATTAGTTTTTTTGAATCCAAAAAGCTCTTTAAAAAACTAATATACCAAACACCTAAATTAGTTTTTTAACTGATAAATAGCTAGTTCAATAAGCTAAAAGTTCTTAAAAAAATTTGCCAAACACCCTCTTAATTAACTCTTGTTTATTTTGAATAATCAATGTTCCAGTTTTCTCCTAAAAGGTACGCACAAACATTTCTTTTGGTGTGTTCCTTTTATTTTTTTTTTCAAAATTAATTTTGAAAATTTAATGTTTTATATAAAAAGGTACTATATTTTTATAAAAGAATTGTAAAATTGCACGATTAAAAAAAATAAAAATTAAGCAAATATATATAACCTCAAAAGCCATATTAGGAAAATCATCTATTATGTACCCAAATTAGGATAAAAACTACACAAATGACAAATGAAAGCCTTATTTCAGATTTTATATTTTGTTATTTCAATATATTTGCTACTATTTTTAATTTGTAACACAATTTAGTACAATTTATAAAATTATGTAAATAAAAAAATAATAATAATTACAATGGTCAACAATCTATCAAAATGAATAAATGATAGCATACCGAGATACTATTATTATATATTTTTTTTAAAAAAAAAAAAAATAGGGTGTGTATGTTTAGTATTTTAATTTTAAATATATATATATTTTTATATTATATATAAATAATTATGTTTATAATATAAAAAATAAAATTTTATATTGATTTGTTTGACTGATTCATGTTGTTTGGGGTTTTACCGGTGGATGTCTGGGTCTGAACTCATATCACGAGTCATCAAGTCATTCGTTACGAACATCTATCTTTGTTAATGTTATCTATTTTTATTATATACTATTCTTTGTTTCACTTCAAATATCTTTTTCTGAATTTATAAAAAATAATCAGTATTATACCTTTAATTTTTATCCAATATACTATTACACATACAATTACTTTTCAAATAACAAAATGTCAAAATCTCTTATACATTTTCACTAATCAATCAAATACTATTATTTCCCAATTTATTATAAAAACCTTAAACGACCCATTTGATAAAGGACGAAAGAAATATTATTTTTTAATCTACTGTAAAACCCCAAAAATCTCTTTTAATTTGGGGCTAAGGAAGTATATATGTTAATTTTATCCATCAACTAGTGATCGATTTTCATAAATATTATATATACTCTCTATGTCCTATATATATCTATCCATTTATTTTTTGCATTGAGTTTTTGAAATATTAGGATTATATTGGGATATAGTATAAATAAAGGTAAAAAAAACTAAACTACGCTACTTATTAGTATTAATATTGTATAATATAAAGGTAATGACATTTGGGTAATATATTATAAATTGAAATAGTATTAGTAATATTGATAGATTATTAATATAAATGTAATGATATTTATATAATATAAAATAGACAAACTAAAATGAAAAAATCTATATATTATAAATTGTGTTAGAAAAAAAAAATCATTGTTTTAGAAAAACAAAATAAAAAATACTAGTGTGTTTGTTTGGGAGATTGGATTAGATTTCCACTATTCATCCCATTTTTTCCCCAAAAAAATATCAAATCAAATACATATTTTTTATTTTTTATATTATACTAAAAATCAATTTTACATTCAAAACATCACATCAATATTTATTTATAGCAAGTCTTACAACTATTCAAATTCAAAATTTTTACTATTCAAATCATAATTCAAAATCCAAGCCCCAAACAATACACACTACTAGTATTTGTCTAAAAAATTCTTTTGTTTCTCACTCTTTATAACTCTTCTCTCTCTCTCTCTCTCTATCCTGATTGCTGTTATATATAGAGAGAGGGAGGGTGGTAGAGGGGGCACCAGATGCTGCTATCTCATCAGTTATCACCACCACCAACTCTCCCTCTCTGTGTCAGCTAATCTCAACCTAAGCTAAGCTAAGCTAAGCTAAGGCACAGTGACTGTCTGCATATGTGTGTGTGAGTGATGAACTAACTGATTCTTTCTTAAATCCATCCATCGTCACCAACAAACCTACCTGCAACTGCCACTGCAACTACTCAAATCAATCAGCCATGAAAAACCCTAACCCTTACTGCTCAACAGCAGCTCCAGGATGGTTCAACTTCATCCCTCTCCCTTCTTCTAATTCCCCAAACCCTCCTCCCAACCAAGCCCTTCCTCTCCTCACCCAATCCGATCCCACCTCATGCACCCCCAAATCTATTACTTCAGATAATAATTACCACTGCAACGACGACGACGACGACGAGAATTCCAAGGGGATGGTGGTGAGGAGGAGGAGGAGGAGGGATATTGACCAGAATATTAATGAATATAGCAATATTAATGACGACGACGACGACAATGTCACTGTAGCGCTCCAAATAGGGCTCCCCAGCCCTAATTCTGACCTCCCCCCTTCCTCCTCCTCCTCCTATTCAATTGGGGGAGACGAGAGGTCCCCCGCCATGGATAAAGATGGAGTGGACATCCTCTCTGGTCTGCCCCTGAACAGGTTCAACATGGGTCAGTATTGGATCCCTACCCCCCCTCAAATCCTCATTGGTCCTACTCAATTTTCATGCCATCTTTGCTCCAAGACTTTCAACAGATACAACAACCTCCAGGTACCAATTACCTACATTCATACATACATACATACATACATATATATATAATATATATATCTGTGTGTATGTCTTTCTCTTTCTTGGAGATGAGCAGCATCTTGCTACCTACCTACCTAGCCCTAATTCCCCCTTTCTAATTTTTCACTTAATTAATTAATTAGTTTTAGCTTTCCAGTTTGTCTCCTTTCCCGAGTTTTACAATTGAAGATGATGTCTGTCAGTCCTCTTTAGGGGAATCTGGTGTGTGTGTGTGTGTGAGTGGATATTTCTTGTGTTGTTTTGTCGAAATTAGGCAAACACATAATTCGCACTGGGATTGAAGTTATACTGTATTTGCTCATTACAGAAGTCAAGTCGAGTCATGATGATGAGGTTTTTGGAGCAATACAGTATAAAATAATGTTCAGATAGTCAACTTTTGTCTGGAAAAAATTAAAACCTCTCAGATCCAACAGTCACTTCATCCATGTTTAGTGTCAATCACTTCCTATGATTTTACCCTCACTCCTCTGAATTCAGGTTGAAATTATCAAAGTTTGCCCCTTTCCTTTTTCCCCCTACATTCAGTAATTAAACTGCACCTCCAATAAAAATCCTACCTTTTCTGATTACACATTTTTATTATTTTTTTTAAAAAAACCCAAATTTGTTGTTGTTTCTGTGTATGTATTTCTTGATCTGATGATCCAACAATCTTCTTTTTTTTTTTTTTTTTTTTTTGGATGGGTAGGGTGGGTAAGAATTCTTACACTACTGTTTCGTGTTTGAACATTAAGTCTGTGCAGAAACCTTTGAAGTGTGTGCAAAACAGTAGTATAATTTTTAGAGGGTTAGTAAATTGAATTAAATTAAATTAGAAGGCGACAAAGTTGAGTATGGTGTATAGCTAAGGTGTGTGTTCAGATGATGGTTGTTCATATATCTCTCATTCATTCAACTGCAAAATGTAAAGATTCACTGCAGTGCTGATGCACTGCCTCAATTGGCTGATATATAATGTCGCCCTGACACATCTCCTCCATGATTCTTCATTACATACACACACAGATACATACATAATTATATATATGTTCATGTATATTTTCATTGATTCATTTATGTGTCTGTGTAGAGACTGTTTGTGTGAGCATTGAATGTTTCCATGTGCAGCAATGCAATCTAATCACTGAATCATTAGTTCACTGATTGTGTGCTTCCCCATGTCTTGCTGTTAGTCTTCTGACTGTACCTTTCTTTCTTTACTTCTTCATCATCCAAATTATTTATCTATATATGTATATTTTGGTATACTTATAACTTTAGGGGAATGTTTGAAAATAATGAAATATTTACAGTCAATTGGAAATTCCCAGTTGAAGAATTTTATGGATAGTGTTGATTTGAAGCTTCAAAACCCCTTAACAGTTATTCTTCACGCCTTATTTGGTAATAAACAACAATTTATTTTTGTATTTAAGTTCTTTCTAGTTTTATATGAGAAACAGATAATGCATTGTACTATGTATTTAGTATATAAATCTTACATTATTAGTGGAATTTGTCAAAGCTATATTCTAAATAAAAGGGTTTACTTTATTGTTAGTGTAGTGTGTCTAAACAAAAGATTGCAAATGACCCTTCAACTAGTAACTTTTCCTAAAATGTTTACACAAACTTCATACTTCCATGATTCTTGAATACACACACACACATATATAATGTGTTTGAATTGCATTGAATTTGATGGTACGAAGAGCAATATATATATACATACATATATATATATATGTGGGCAGATGCACATGTGGGGGCACGGGTCGCAGTACCGGAAAGGGCCGGAATCCCTTCGGGGGACGCAGCCGACGGCGATGCTCCGGCTGCCGTGCTACTGCTGCGCGGCGGGGTGCAAGCACAACATCGAGCACCCCCGGGCGAAGCCGCTCAAGGACTTCCGTACGCTCCAGACTCACTACAAGCGCAAGCATGGCGCCAAGCCCTTCGCCTGCCGGAAATGCGCCAAGCCCTTCGCCGTCAAGGGTGACTGGCGGACCCACGAGAAGAACTGTGGCAAGATCTGGTACTGTCTCTGCGGCTCCGACTTCAAGCACAAGCGCTCCCTCAAGGACCACGTCAGGGCCTTCGGACACGGCCATGCCCAGCGCCCCTACGACGGCCTTCTCCGGCACCAGCAGCAGCAGCAGACTGTTCTCTCCTTCGGGAACAAAGACGACGACGAAGAAGAAGAAGAAGAATTGGATGAGGAAGACGACGATGAGTCCACCAATAACTCCGACGTCGACCAGGGTGGGGAAGACGACGCTCAGCATCATCATCACTAGATATATATGTATATCTTCTCCGATCGATCGTACGTGGATATCGATTTGTTTAATTGGATCTGTGGTTTGAGTTTGATTTCATGTGTTTCGGTTTGTGTTTGAGTGGTATTTAAATATCTTCATCTCTGCATTCTCTGCACATGTAGATAGATACAATGGAACGGTTTCATGAACTGATGAGGGCTTTTCATCTCTCTCTCTCTCTCTCTCTCTCTAGATATATATATATAATTTTTGGTTTTTCTTCTTCATCTATACTTTTCATTTTCAATCTCATTAAGATGTGAAGTTTAATTTGATCAGACTGACAGACATTGGTGTATAAAACAGACCACCTTTGCCTAGGCATATCCAAGAATTCGATCAAAACCCAAAAATACTGTTCAATGTTGTGAACAACATAGGATTGCCCCATAATCACAAATCAAAAATCCACTACAAACCGATCATGATTCCCATATTCACATCCACCAACAACACACCAACAGCAGCAGTTGCCGCAATTGTACCAAGCTCAACCATCGTTGCCCTCCTCCTCCAGCCCTCCGACGACGGCCCCACCGGCCCCTGCGCCGGAGTCGGAAACAGATGCCCTGTGCTCGAATTCGAACTGCACAACATCACATTAAGCCTCTGTGTTAGAAACCTCAGATCAAATCAGGTAATATGAGTTGCGAGTGTTGAATATCTCACCTTCCCGCAAATCGACACGATCCATAGCCTGCATTCGACATCAAGAACACACAATTATTACACAAGTAAAGAAGAAAAGCGTCCTCCCGGCTCTAACCAAAAAAAAAAAAAAAAAAAAAAGCTTACTCGGATCGACAGGGGTTAATGTAGCCGAGCCACCGAAATCACAGGTCCCACCGGATCCGTGCATCTTCTGATAATAATCATTGTAGGCATACGACGCGTGGTTCTGTAGCGTATTCGGGAGGTAGCAAGCCTGCCCTTGCTGAATCGCCGTGCAGTCAGCCTGGCCGTGTCCGCAAGCCCAGTTCAGCCCATCCCGTAGCGCACCGTCGTCTGTACCCGATCGCGCTACACAGAAAACCGTCGAGCCATTCGAATCAAGGTTACCCGAGTCACTCAGGCTTATGTCGTACACCGAGCTCCCGTTCGTTGAAACGATACCCCAATTCTTCTCCGAAACAGGACCCGGCCGCTTGTCCTCATTAAATAGCTCGTAAATGTACGCACCGATCGGGATTGTGGGCTGACTAGGAGGACCAGAATCGTTCGACACCCGCCGGATCAAATTGTTGTTGTACGTCTCGGCATTTTCGGGAGTCGCATCCGGCTCGTTCGTTCCACCGAACGACGGCCAGCCAGTTTCGGTCACGACGATAGGGATCGCAGAGAAGTTCAGCGCCGCCATCGAATAGTATGTAGCATCGACTAAAGCATCGAACATACTGTTGTAGTGAAACAGCGTATTTGGATCAACAATCTGCTTCACTGCAGGGAGCGGTTTAAACAGAGCGTACTCGAGCGGGAAGATCCCTTTCCCCTTAACGTATTCGTAATACGGATACGCATTCAGCATGTAGAAGGATTTCGTGTTCTTCAAGAACTGGAGGATCTGTACGATGGTCGAATTCAATGTCGCGTTGAATGCTGCAGTGGAAGGAGGGAACGGGCGGGGAACGATGTCCATCGAATGCGGGGTCGAGACTTTAACCCGGTAATTGAGGTCCGCCGCAACTAAGGCCTTGTACAGATTGTTCATCGCCGGGAGCAGAATTGGCGCGGCGTGCGGGAGCGACGACAGAACTTCGCTGCCGACAGCAATGGCTGTGATGTTGGTCGAGGGCACGTAGGCCGCGACGTTCTTGTTGATCCAAGCGGCTGCTCTCGACGGGAATTCGCCGATTCCTAAAACTTCCTGGTTCGTGACGCTGACCATGACTTCGATGCCGGTGTTGGAAAGAGCATTCAGCATATGCGAATCGGCGTCGAAGAGACGAACATGATCGATTTTCTTTGCTCTGAGGATCGCGACTATGTCGCCTGTTGAAGGTAGGTTCGACACATCAGTCCCTATGTTTACCCCGACGTTTGCGCCTAGACAACAACAAAAACACAGCCCGATTTACCCGCAATCTAGCCAAAACAATGCTGGTGTAATGAAAGGACATTAAGTTCTTAGAAGATTCACCTGATGCAGTTAAGAACAATCCACAACATAGCAGGATTACTCGGACTGATATCGATATCCGAAGCATCATTAGCTAAACACCACGACGGAATATATATATATATATATGTATGTATGTATCTTCAATCTTCAATCAAGTCTGAATTTCAGCCCTTCAACTACAGAGTTCTTGTATATGCATATAATGTATGTAAAGGACTCTTCAGTTATTCTGCTAGATCCAAATGCAGAGAGCAAATGGAAAGGAAAACAGTAAAGGGGGTTAGGGTTTATCTCAATTCTGCTCTTCCGACAAGAATGTAAATCTAAATCAAGAAATCTTCTTTCCAGATCATTAAAACGAAACGATTAATCACGCGAAATTCATATTCACATTCACAGCACTGAGAAGCAAAAGGAGAATCCAATAAAGAAAAGCTGACAAAGGCACAACTTTCAGAACCCAATTTTCGCACAAGAGCAAACTTCGATACAGCAATCTTTACACAATAATTTCAAACCACATTCATTCTCCATCAAAGTAACTCACAGACAAACACAAAAGAGCAACCTTCGCCAAATCAAACATCACAAGATTTATAAGCAAGAGAGGAGAAGGGAAAAGGGGTTCAAATCAAAGAAATTAAACTCACAGAATCAGCCAGGCAAGAATCGAAGCCAGATCAGCACAGCGGGAGAAGTTCCCTCGTTTGATTTTGAGAAATCGAGGTAGAAAAATGTGAATGCTGCAGAGTGGAGGAGTGAGAGGCGTAGGAGCGTGGTGGGTAACTGATAGAGTGAGAAAGAAAGAAGAGGAAACGAGAGGGAGAAAGCAAAGCAAGATGGACAGGGTGGACAAATCAATGTTCAATTACTGCTTTTTCTACAAACATCTGTCGCTTTTGTGGGAGTCCCTTCATTGGAATTTCAATTATTTTTTATGAGAGATCGCAGAAACAGAGAGACGGACAAAGCGACAGTCCTCTTACGTTACTAAATCCACTAAATTCTTGAAATAAGAGGCTCCTGATTTTAAGAAATACAAATAAGAATCCATTCTTTTTAAGTGAAAAATGTTTCTAGTGGAATACAGCCCATAACTTCGTCAAAAAATGTGAAGTGGGACCCTTCGGTCTTCGTCTTCAGACAGGTTCCAGCGATTCACACAACTGTCCTATTCGGGCGGTGAATTGGATATATTTTGAAAATCTTGTCGTTCGTTTGAGAGGCATTTTAATTTGGAAATGAACGTTCTTGGTCATCCTTCCACACTATTCCCACTCAAACCATATCCAACCTCAAAATCGAGATACAAAAACCATAAAAAATTGCAGGTTTGCAGTGCCCAGAAGAGGTGCTTGAGATGCCACACCCTTTACGACGACAGGGACAATTCGCCTACTGCTTGCTCCTTCCATGGCCACATCAATGGCGAAAAGGGCTTATTTGCCTTTTCACCTCCTCACCAAGGGATTGACGGAGAGTGGAGCGATAAATCAGGTGTCATCGTCTACAAATGGAACGAGAAAGAAAACCGGCCCAACACCGGTCGACCCAACTGGCGCAAACGGTGGAGCTGCTGCGCAGAGTACGACCTTCACGCGCCGCCGTGCCGGAGAGGATGGCACGTCTCCTACGACGACGGCTTCACATTGTACTAATTACAGAAACTAGATTAAAAAAACAACTTTTAAAATTATAAGAATATAATAACAGCTTAATTAATTGTTTTGAAAGATTGATGCAAGTGATTGAGGGTTTCTTGATCCCGATTCCATTCCGGCGTCGGCGCGTTCACAAAATGCGCGTAGAGTTTGTTCTTGGTGCACGTGACGGAGATGAGGCTGTGGCCGCCGCCGCCTTCGATTTCGTACACGTAGTACACCTGTCCTTTCTCGTCCGGCTTCTCCTCAGCGGTGACCTTGTCGGCGCCGGCGATCAGGTCCTGCAGGTCCACGTCGGAAAGCGCCAGATTGTTCAGAACCACATCCTTCGGCGCCAATCGGGGGAATCCGTCGAGGAAAGTTAGGTATTCCTTCTCCGACTTTTTCTTAGGATTGTAGAACTCGCTGTCCGTACCGTTCGTCCCCTTCTGAATCTTCGTCACGAGCTTCTCCTTCCACCCCTCCGGCACGTCGTACACGTACTCCGCCGAGGCTTTCTTGTCGGAATTTCCGCCGTACCCGCCGTAATTCGCCGCGCTCGCGGCGGTGCCGTAGTAGACTTTGTACTCCGCTAGCGAAGGCGGCGGCGCCGCCGTCAGCACAGTCGCAGCAATCGCCGCCGCCGCCGCCGCAGCCGCTAAATTGAGGCGCGGTTTTTCGAAGGGGATGGAGACAGTAGTAACCTGTGATTTGGATTGCGGCGGTGGTTTGGTGGGGGGGAGGGCGGCGGAGGGAGAGAAGACGGTGGTGGCCATGGCGGAGATGGATTTGGAAGGCGATTATCGAATCGGTGGATGAGATTGTTTTGTATGTAATGAATTTTTTTTCCCTTATCCACTTTCTTGATCATCATCGTCCAATCATGGCCGAGAAATGTGACACGTCATCATTTTTAAATTATTATTATTTATTTATTTATTTTTGTGGTGAATTTTTTTAACTATGTTAAAAGGTAAAGATTAAAATAGTAGATGGCTAAATTTAACAGCGGTCTAATTACAGCTGTAAAATCACGTGTATGGTAGAAATGCGAATTAGAGGTGTTCCTTGAAAGTGGAGGACCCTCGTCAAGCGATTTCTTTGTATTTTCCAACCTCCAAAAGGCCTAAATACGCTCCCAATTCTGCATTTTCTTGGTGGTTCTGAAGCTTTTTCCCGCTGCTCGCCATAACTTGGATGATTTTTCTTCTAATTTCCCACTGACACCATGCCTAAACGGTACGCCTCGTTTAAATTTTGTTGTTTCTTCATGTTTTCGCTCCATTATTCTACGTTGCGTTGCTATTGGAAATCGGTGCCCTACGATTGCAATTGGGAATTTTTTACATTATCCGTCAATGCTGCATTATTGTTCTTGCTATATGATGTTTTGATCGAGCTGAATTTCGGAAGGTAGATAACGTATGAGAAGAAGAAATTGGAGTTCGACATTCTAAGGAATTGATTAGGGGTTTTGCTGTTCTTTCGTGTATATTTCAAAATTATTTTGATCTGTAAACGCTATGTCACTCTCCATCTCCATTAGGAAGGAAAACACCGAGATGTTAATTGTTCCTAAATTCAAGAATAGAAGGCTATGGCTAATCAAACTTCAAATGCTAAGGAGTTAGGGCAACATTGCTATAATTCCAGTCTCAAATTCTTCTTTCAATCCGCCGTCAAAGATAGGATGTGATTAGTCTGTTGTATATAGATGTTGAATTTCGATTGAATTTCTTTCAACCATATAGCTTCCTTATCTCTTTTTGTCATATTTATCTGCATCAGGGTTCTTTGCAAGTTCTCCGCCCATGGGGCATGTCTGAAAGGGGAGCATTGCGAATTCTCGCATGATTGGAAGGACCCGCCGTTCAATGTATCTGTCAAACTACCAGTTTCACCGATTGTTCGATCGATGTCGACATTGATCATAATTTCATAAAATTTTGCAGATTTGCACTTTCTATCAAAGTGGAGTTTGCGCTTATGGTAGTCGGTGTCGATATGAGCACATCGATGTTGCTGAAACTTCAGCTCATGGTGCAGGTACATTACATTTGCTACCAGACATCTTCCCTGTAAAATATTTCGACAATCTTGATTTAGCTAACCAGTCAATGTCTGGTTTTTCAGTGGCTGAAGAAAATCATCCTAATGCTCGTGGCGAGGAATGTCCAATCTGTGGGAAACAATGCCTGCAGCCTCGAGAAAGAGAAGAGCATTCAAATGTGTGTGAGGGAAGGAGAAAGCATATGGAAGCACTAAGAACGAGTCAGGAAATAGAATGCTGTGTGTGCCTTGATCGTGTACTCTCGAAGCCCACAAGAGCCGGAAGGAAATTCGGCATTCTTTCAGAGTGCGATCATCCATTCTGCATATCGTGCATCAGGAATTGGCGCAGCAGTTCTCCAGCATCCGGCCTCAATATCAATTCTGCACTACGAGCTTGTCCTGTATGTCGAAGGCGATCTTACTTTGTCATTCCTAGTGCAACTTGGTTTTCTTCAAAAGAGGAGAAACACGAAATCATTAACAATTACAAGAAGAAGTTGAGGTACATTTGAAATCTCTTTCTCCCTATCCCCAAACATTTTGTGCTCATTCATACGGTTGTCATTTTCTTTCAGCACGATCGATTGCAAATACTTTGATTTTGGGAAGAGGACTTGTCCTTTTGGGGCTGGTTGTTTTTACAAGGTACGATACACAAACTTCTTTGAACATACATTGCAAGTTTGTTCGATTGGTTTGAGAATAAGGTTGTGTAATAGATTTGTATCGAACGTACATCTTATTTTCTCGACTATTTTGCATTGTTATTACGATTGCTTTTGCATTTGCTTATGGATTCGTCATTTGCAGCATGCATATCAAGATGGTCGTCAAGAAAAGGTTGTTCTTCGCATCGGGTCTGGAGATGAAAACACTGTGATTACTAAAAAAGATTCGGTCCCGTCCTGTTTTTTCCCTCCCATATGTTTTCACTTACTAATTTTACAGTCTCTTGATCTATTAATTCATAAATGCCCTTTCTTATGTCGCTTTCAGGCCTTCGAACATTCTTAGTAATTCACAGCCAGCGTGAATAAAGCTTAACAAAAATTCTTCAAAACGTTCACTTCTGAAATGTATTCACCCCGGTAATTCCTTAGAAACTTCTCGATCTAGTTACCCCCGGTAAATGCTTAAGTTACATGTAAAAATGATCGATCCATCGCTTCGTTTAACATAATTGATGATCTTATCCTTTGTTAGGGCACCGGCGCGCTTAATTCTGCTGATGTTTTGACCGTTAAAGGAACATTCGAGCTTTTTGTCCTAAGGTGCAGCTTATGCTACGACACTTTATATTTATCTGTCAGCTGAATTCATAATACATGGATTTATTTCATCTTCGAGAATTGAAAATTGAAATTGAACCCTTTCGATGTCTGCCCCTGATAATGCAGGTTTCATTCCTCGTATAAAAGTTTTGGTTTTAAAATCTCTAGCGAGGCGACAACAATCAGACTACCCCAAAAGCCAAAAGAGGTAATGTTCGAAATCTAGAGATTATACATTGTCCAAAAAAATACGCCGGTGATTGGTTTTATTTTGTTCGTCGTCTCAGGACGTCCAACATTGCCTCCGATGTATCGAACAACAAGAACGGATTATATATCGGAATTTTTGAAAAAAAAAAAAAAAGAAGATGAATCATACAATGAGATTTTGAGAATCTTGAAATGTTATTACTACATTGTACACGGTTTTACGTAAATTTACTATGGTGGTTATGATTGTTGAGAAGTTTGATAAACTAGAAACACATATCATATTTAATATTTATTTCTGTCATTGAAATATTCACATTAAAATAATGTTAGTTCAACAATTTTTATTTTTACTAAATCAGGAATATAACATTTTTTTAACAAAATATTTATTTTATAAACATTTCACCATTATATATCTCTCAATTTAAAAGAACATATGTTCTCAAATCTCCATTGATCATCAAAATATTCTCCTAAAATATATCAATTTCAAAATACATTCTATTGCTGTAAATATTATAGAACTTATTTTAAAGAAAAGGATGTTGTGTGAATGAAAATAATATGGTTTTTGATCATTCAGAATAAATATGTAATCATAATGTGTAAAATAATATATTTTTTCGTACTTAATATTAAAAATATTTTTTTTATTTATATAATTTTTTTTTTTTACAAATATCATTATATTAGTATTATACGACACTAATAGAAGTGTTTTTGTCCTTTTTCCTTAATGTGTATTATATTTTGATATAATAATGAATATTTAAAGATCAATATGTAAAAGTAAACGTGAGATCCAAATCATCCTAACTCGATTAGATCCACTATAACAAGATTTTCTATGCGGTCTCACGCATGAGATCTCTATATACATTACATCTATATACAATTGTGTTCGATCTCTATATACATTACATCTATATACAATTGTGTTCGATGTTGATTTGATTTTGAGAGAATATAACATTGTTGATCTTGGATTAGTAATAACAGTATTGAAACTAATTCTTGTTTTTATCTTTTAATAATATATTTTGTCTTGATATATAAACAACTAAAAGTTCTATACAATTCCAATTCTAATTTTTATCATTTAATCTTAATACAAATTCCAATCAAATATTATTCTGATTAGCGATAAGCCTTTAATTAATAATTTAGTTCGTTATTGACCATTATCAATTACATATTATTTGGGTATTTTAATTAACTAATCCATATCAAATATAAATTTTCAGTCTCTTTAGAAGTGATGCCTAAATCAATTTCAATTATATTTCGATACGAATTCTTTTTTCAAAATCAATTTATTTTTTTAAATACTATCTTTCAATTTTTTACTATTCAAATTCAAGATGTTCACAAAGTTTCAAATATTGTTTATTTAAAAAAATATTACTGCTTCCATCCTATATCATTTGTTCCTATTTTCTATTTTCGTTTCTTTTCTTTTTTTAAATATAATTATACACTTTAATTATATTTTATAATTTTTTAACTAAATTAAAGTATTTAGTTATCTTAATATTAATTATAATTATTTTTACTATACAATAATTATTTTTACTAATATATTTTTTAATTACTTAGTAATTATAGTTTATATAAATTCTAGTGTCTACAGTCACACGTCCAAATTACCTAGGATGGAGGGAGTATATCAAAATTGAAATTGTAACTTCTATTTTCTTAAAACTTAAGACACACAATCAACACATGATGTTTTGTGAAGTTCAAGTTCGAATTAAATCTAATTTGTTTGTTACTTTGCTGAGTTATATGAATTAGGTTACATTCTATTTTCAAGTTAGATCTAATTTGTATCTTGAAATTATTATCAAATTCTTATGTTCTTATGTGTTATTATTTTTTTTTTTTTCAGATTTTTGCGACAACCATTTATCCGAAATTAAACCCGTCACCATATATACTTTATATATATATATAAAGTAAGAACTCATAACCACTCGGCTGATTAAAAATTAAAAGAGGGAAGGATATATACCTTTAATTATTTCAATATATATATATATTACTATAAAATAAATAATACTCTTATATATCAAACAAATTCGAATATACAGACAAAAAAAAAAAAAACAGCCAATAATAATAGAAACAATAACAATAATTATTACATGAAACAAGATATATCACAACACTAATAATTAATAACCCCTCAATCTCCATCCAAAAAATAAAAATAAAAATTCATCCCCACAAATCCCGAATCAATAATAAATCCTCTCAAGAATCAACTAATAACCCACCCCCCCCCCCCCCCACCAATCCCACTCATACATACATACATATATATATAACTGAAAACTCAATTCTTCATAAGAGCCCAGAGCGACACCACCACCGCAGAAGCCACGGCGGCGGTCGGCAGCTGCAGGACGCTTCCGGCTCCTTCCTCCGGTCCCGGCGCCGGCGACGGCCCTGGAACCTCCCCAAATCCGTCCAGCTGGGCAACTGCGCCGCCGCACAGAACCGCCATAATGGCCACAACCTGCATCGCCACGATCATAGCCTTCAAACCCTCCATCGGAGAAATCAAATAAAAAAGCACGACGATCGATAAATATAATTAATGTTGGATTTTATTTTTTATATATGTTCGATCTCCGGCCGATGATTGATGAAAAGATTTGCAGGCGGTCGGGTGTATATATAGGCGGGGAAGATTGAAGAAGACGAACCGCGTGGGCCCACCAAAAGCGCGGACACGTGGCGCGTGGGGACGGCATCCACGTGTCATTGTTAAAATATTTTTATTTTTCGAATAAAAGAAAAAGAAATGAATACCGAAATTAATGAATTATTAGCGTAGCAGGCGGAATTCTTTTTTTATTTTTTTTTATTTTTCTAGAAATATTGCAGTAGTAATAAATTTGGGACAGTCTTAAATTTGATTTGAAAACAAAAATGTGACTCTTATTGATACTGTGTGCATATATTAATATTTTAATTTCGTTACGTAACGAAGTTAAATTTAGTTCAGAACTTTCAAAGCATGCATGATGCATCTATCGATGATTCAATTTATTTAATTATTTAAATTAAATAATAATAAAAATAGGCAAGAGGTTTGGGGCGTCACGTTACATCAGTGGCGGCCTCCATTTGGCGACACGTGGCACAACTGTGTATGTTGGGTCTCAACTTAGAAGGTAACCTAATTTTCATATCTTCCTGTCTAAGTGAAGATTCTATTTTTGAACTCCTTTTGTCGGCGCACCTCATAAATTATTATTATTATTTTTTTTATATTAAGAAAATAAAGTACATATGGAGTGTGTTTTTTTTTTTTTCCAATTTATTATTAAGTGTTATATTGTGATTGGTGTCCCAGCTGTATTGATTGAATGATTAAATATGATCTGGTGTGGTGTCACAACATTTTACTGTTTTGGGATTAATTTTGCTGGGTTTGTGAATTAGAGTGCAATTAATTTTAGGACAGGGTTGGATTGAATTTAATAACGACATATACCGACCGGTCGGTCCGGTCCGGTCCGGTCTGGTCTGGATTTGAAAAGTCAAAGCGTTGACCGTTTGGGTGACAGTTGGAGGACTGGTGTGGTGTGTTTTGAATAGTTTAATGAATCTAAGGGTAATGACGGTTGGGTTTGTTTTGTTTGGCATTAGGTGTAGAAAGATTTGTGGCTCTGCGTGTAGGATAGGGCAGCATGGCCACGCGCCGTCTGGCACGTGGCCAACACGCTTTCATATACAAGTCTTGGTCTTTACCCTCCTCCTCCTTTGACATTTTTTACATTATTCATATTTTGGTTATAATGTATTTTCGATTCAATTTTGGTGTTGATTTTATTATATTGATTTTCTCAATTATTGATCAAAAACCTAAAAAGCACTAATTAATAATAAAAAAATAAAATATTTATGTCAGTGTAATATAAGTATAACACAATATATATGCCCATTTAATCGGGTATACGTTTTAGGTAAAAGTAAAAATAATTTTTTTAGGATAAAAAAAAAAAAAAAGTAAAAAATAGGTATTTTTTTTATCTAAAAACGAAAATAAATTTGAATAAAAAAAAAATGAAAATAAATTATAATATATACAGTTTATCACTCATAAAAAATAAAAAATTCAAACTTGCCTGCTAAATACTTTGACAAACAATGTGCATCCTTTCTTGGGCTTGTTTAATAGGCCCAACATTTAAAATTAAAATAATGACTACCTCTGGCCATTATCTATGTATTTATTAAAATATTATTGACAGTAAAATTAATATATTATAATTTTATATAAAATATAAACTGTTTTTTTATTCAAATGGCATCTAAGAATTTTGAACTAAAACTGAATTTACTACTCACACTAACTATCAGGCCACTTATATCATTTTTTATAAGTCATTGGACGAAGAATAGAAATGGTAATTTTGGGTCAATTTCATTATTTTATTCTGGGCCAGTCCAGCCTATTTTCAACCAGTGCTAGTTGGGTCTAGCCCAATTTTGAAATGGGCCTAAAATTCTGCTGGGTTGAGTTAGTATTATTTCGATTTATTTATTTTAGGTATATTTTGTGTCACTTTTTATTAATAATAATAATAATAATAATAATCTAAATAAATATAATTATAATAAGAAATAATATTTTTATTGGTAAGTTAAACCTTTGATAAATCGTGTCAGGTCGGCCATATTTGCATGGCCCAGTTATAATTTGGATTTTCAACTATGGTGGGCTGGCCTAGTTTGAATTTTTTTTTGAATTTATAGATCAAATTTTGGAATCGTATTTATTTCCTCTTAACAGTAATAGATTAGAGAACTAATTAATATTCAAAATATGTACTGTCACTATGATGTTAATTATTATAATATATTGTATAAATTATTATTATTATATTTAGTGTATTCATTTTAGATTAATGTATCTTTGATACTAAGATTATTATATACTATATTGTTTTCTAATGGTGTATTTGTGTTAAATATAACCAATGATCTCAAAAGATTATTTATAATTTATTGCCTTGTTAATTTTGCGTAGTGATTTAATTAATTAAATTAAATTTTAAGGTAGATATGGAAAGTAGATTAAAAAAAATCAATCTAAACAGTTCCCTAGCGGATTTAAAGGCTCCGAAACGGCGTCGTTGTGACCACAGAAGACAAATTAGTATTCTTCTAGATCCCCGAGTCCCGAAAGCCAGCCAAGAACGCGAACGCGAACGCGAATGCGATTTCGATTGCGAATGCTCCGTCGAGACTCTCTCCTGATCGGCTCCCAACTGCGCCGACCTCTCTGCCTGCCGTTTTCTCTCGCCAGAGTTGTACCAATTCGAGCTTCGATTGGACCCTCCGTTGCGCGATGAATCAGGAATCGATTGCGCCGACGAGAGATTTGATCCTTGGATTATCGATATCCGCGATTCGCCATATCCCCGGCGCTGTGCAGGTTTGTGACCTCGAGTCTCAGCGAAACTATACGCATTGATGTGTCTCCAATTTTGATTTCGAGTTTCTGCCTATTTGGATATCTTGATTAACGCTTTGGGAGAAAATTCGTGCCTTCTTTGGTTGGGGGAAGGAGTTGTTGCTGATTGAGGTCTCGATTGGGGGTAAATTGTTAATTGTTCTTCGTTTTCCTCCGCGCGATGGGCGATGATAACGCGATGGATGCGAATAATTTCATTGATCTTGATTTGAACCAACACCCTAACCCTCCTCTACCGTCGGATGAATTTCCGGCGACTCGTATGATGGTAGTGGACAGATTCCGTCAGATTTCAGGCGTTACAGCTCGTGCGAGGCTGCACCAAAGGAGAAGAGCCGGGACAAGTTCTATGGAAATCACTCGACATTCTGACGAAAACCTAGATTCCGACACAGGCGTTGGAATCGGAATCGGAATCGACAATTCAGAGATGGTGATTAGAACGCCGGAAAATGGGAAAGATTGTAATAGGAAAAGGTCTCATTTGGTAGCAAAGGCATTGGAGATGGAGTCTGAAGTGAAGAAGAAGAAGGCTGATAAGGGTGATGGTGGAAGCTTTTACGATTGCAATATCTGTTTGGAATTGGCTAAGGATCCAATCTTGACCTGCTGCGGCCATTTGTACTGCTGGTCGTGTTTCTACCGCGTTTCAGACGTCGATTCGACTTCCAAAGAGTGTCCAGTTTGCAAAGGGGAGGTATCCGACACAACGATAATTCCTATTTACGGAAATGGCGACAGCGAGGCCGTGAACGAGACACCCGACGGGCTGATAATACCTCCGAGGCCTAAGGCTCGCAGAGTCGAGAGCGCAAGGCAGCAACGAGTGACGCGCAGGATGTCGCACGTACCCGTCGCCGAAGCCCTCCGACGGATTCGAATGAGCATTGGTGCCACTGGCGGTGACACGGACGCGCCGGGACGGCAATCGGGGGAAGCAGCCAGCGCTCGTCACATAAGGATCCATCAGGTCTCGAGAGTGCTGTCGGAAAGTGCTGCGTCGCTTGCGACGCTCTCGTCTGCCTTGACTAGTGCAGAAAGGCTTGTAGAAGACCTCGAAACGGTGATTAATAACGGTGCTCAAAGAAGCGATCTGCCGCCTTCGCCGGATGAATTGGCGAATCGGATCATCGAGCATTCCTTTGGCTCACAACCTGTCAATCCCGACATAAATGCCACATTGCCCGGTTCTTCGTCTTTGCAACCAACTGATGTTTCTGATTCTTCCGGACAGGGTTCTGGAAGGGATACTTTGTCTACGTTTATACTTCCTCCTGCGTCTCGTTATTCTCTTCGTAGACGGAATATTTTTCTGAGGACTCAATATGGAAGCCCTCCGGACAGCCAGGGATCTTCTAGAAGGAGAAGATTGAACTGACTGAGAGGTATATTTGCTTTTCATACTGGCTATAATCTCATTCCATGGATTCGAATCCGTTGCTTGCTTTTTAAATTTCGGCATTTACAGATATTTGGTTGATGATTAATGTCGAGACAAGGCATGATGATAGCTATAAATGAAGCATGAGAATGAAGGCATGATTGACTCCATTTGCCATGTGATCGAACCTACTGCATTGAAGTTCTTCCGAATCTAATTAGTCGAATTAATGTCCAGGATAGATCGAATCTGCTACGAATTCGCATTAGATGCCATTAATTTCCGATTGTTTGTAGCAATTATGCAAAGATGCAATCTTTTCTCATCCTAAATCTACACTTCATCATCCTTTCTGTGCTTCCAATTCCATTATAGATTATCTCTTGAGCATCCATTGATTTCTCATCATTCTTTGTTTGGAGCTGTGCAATAATGAAAGTCTTGTTGTTGCATGAATCCATCTTCTACACAGAGTGAAGTGCAGCTTTCCATGTCTTGTTCAGTTGCTGGTAATGTCTCTCTCTCTCCCTCTCTCTCTCTCTCTCTATCTCTCTATTAATGATGGTCAAGGAAGCAAGAAAGCACCTGTGGAATTGGGGGAGTATGTTGAAAAAAAAAAAAGCTGAAATGATCAATGAATGGGACTATAATTTGGCATTGCAGAAGTAGCAGTAGCAGTAGCAGACAAGGCTCTTCTTCTTCATGTGTAAATTGATGATAACTAGCGGTGAACTCAATCATTGCTCTTGTTGGAATTCAATAAATATATATATATATATATAATGGATAGTACCTCTTTTACATTTGTATATTTATATATATATAGATAAGATGTCTTGGCTTAATTAGTGGGTAAGTGCATTTTCTTGCAGCAACTTTACTACAACCTTGTAATTATCAAATGCACAAGATCTTTGTAATGACTTTTAGCAAAGTGTAGAAAGTAATACTACCTCCTTGCAAATTAACTGAAAAAAGTTTCTATCTTTTTTGTGCCCTTTGTCAGTTTTTTTGACCCCCAAAAAGTACTGTCGATTTTCTTTCGCCATGTACGTTTCATCTTTTCTCTTAATTTTTTTAAAGTTAAAATACGAAGAAAGAAGGAAATCAAATGGAAGTATATTTAAAAAGGTGAAGTCACGTGTGAGCAAAGTTTGAAGTCAAAGTATACTTTAAAAAAAATAATATTAATATAATAAAGGAAGAATTAAATGCAGGTCATGGCTTTTGAGGTTGCTGCAATAATTATTCAAAACTACATTTGACAGTGTGTCTTTCAAATACCCTTTTTCGTCTTATTTTTATTTTTAAAAAATAAGATTAAATAAAATAAAATATGAGTATGTATATATGTACGATATATAAAACCGTGGGTGATAATTATTAATTTCTTGGCTATGTGACACGCAGAGGCAGAAACCAAAAATGAAATGACTACCAAAAGGTAAATTAATCAATAAAAGACACTATTTTCGTTTTGCAGTCCTTGGATCTCTGGTCCTGGGATGATCAACACTGCCGGAAAAGTAGGCCCACCGCCTTGACCGTGGGATTGTGAAGATCCCGAGTCCCGGACCACCTGAATTAGTGAGTCATCATGAGTCAAATATCAATTAACGTATGCATTATTTTATTTTTTATAGATTAAATATTAAAATCCTTTTTTCAATTCTTATCTGCTTCAACTTTCATGATTCACTCATTTATTATAATAATAACTGCCCAACGGACCGCTACAAACGGTCAGGCCGTTGGGTATCGCTTCAGCCTATCGCGACACGCCACGTGTCGAAGCGACGGACGCCGTACGGATGATAAATTTATTGTTTAACAGCGGCAATCATCGGGTCAAAATATTTTAACAAAATACAGATAAATAAAAATTTAATCTCTATTATAGTAAAAGTATTATTTTTTAGTTTATATAAATATTAGTTTTTTATTTTTCCAGCATGGCCATGGGGAAGCAACGCATGATGTAGTTTGCCTCGGAAACTCTCCTTTTAAAATGCCAACTTTTGTGTTTTCCTTTTAAATTATATTCATCCAAACACGGCCTTAAGGTTGTCAAGTGCCAATAATGGTCAATTTGACCAGTCCATCATCACGACTATTTACCGTTGAAAAAAGCTCCCATTTTTCTGAAATTAGGGTTTCCCATTTAGGGTTTTCTTGGTTACCAATTAATATATGATTCATTAGAATTAGAATATTTATATTTATAATCCATTTCACTTAATGGACCCTAAAAAAAATAGGGTTTCCACGTGTGTGCTTTTAGTCAACACGCCCGTGTCGGTCAAAAACCTTAAAAACAGAAACAAGGTTAGAGAGAAAGAGGGATTTTTAAAATACACCAAATAGCAATAAGAGGTAGAGAATGTAAAAAAAAAAAAGTGAAGACTAGAAAAAGAAAATCAAAGGGGCCAAGGCCCCCACTAGGTCATGTTTGGTCTACTCCTACTATATTTTTTTGTTTTCATCTTCAATCAATGGGAGTACAGTGATGGTTTTTGTGGACAGATAAAAGAATAAAAAATGAAACCAAACATGGCATATGTACTCATTTTTATTTTTAAAATAATTAATTATTATTATCATTAATTATGAGCACATCAGTTTGTGTCTATAAAGAAGCTTTCCACTGCTCCCATTCAAAAACCCTTTCTTTTTTTTCTGTAGCTTTTGTCTTCCTCGATCCGCCATGGAATTGGGGCTGAGCTTGGGGGACACTGCGACGGAGGCGTCGAAGGAAGCCGCCGCCTCGAAGAAGCCCTCCGGCGGCGTGTGCATGGATTTGCGGCTCGGATCTCCGGCTGACGGAAATCATCAGACCAAATCTCAGGAAGAAACCGACGACGATTACGAGGTAGACGACGCAGATCACGCCTCCGATCAGGAACAAGATTTCAATCGGGAGGGATCGGAAACCTGCGCCGCTCCGGCGGTGCAGCTCCATCTCCTTCCTCCCCCCCTTCGCCGGATTTCCCCCAATTTTCTCCCCCTCACGGCGTGGTCCTCCGACAATGGTAGATATTATCCCCCAAACCCTAAGATCCACAAATCAACGGCTGTGATTGACTAATTTAATCTTCTTCTTCTTCTTCTTCACTTTCCGTAGGGAGTCCAGAGAACGGTTCGTCGGAGAACACCGGACTGCCGGCGACGAGAGGCTTCGACGTGAACAGACCGCCGGCGCCGGCGGCGGCTATTGAAGCATACAAGATGTACGGAAATCTTCAGATATTTTCCGACAACAAACGGGCGTACGAGGACGAGAAAACGACGTCGAGAGCGAGCGACGAGGAGGAGAATGGAATAAACTCTCGAAAGAAGCTGAGATTGTCGAAAGAACAGTCGGCGTTTTTAGAAGAAAGCTTCAAAGAACACCACACTCTCAATCCCGTCAGTCCGTCAGTCCCCACCTCATTTCATTTCTTTAATTACAAACATTTCCTTTTTCATTTCTATTTCATCATATTTTACATACATAAATACATACACACACATATATATATATATCTTACTGTCATCTTCTTCTTCTTCGTCTTCACCAGAAGCAAAAGCTCGCCCTGGCGAACCACCTGAATCTCCGGCCACGGCAGGTCGAAGTCTGGTTTCAGAATAGACGGGCAAGGTATAGAGATTTATATCTATATCTATATATCTGTATCTATATCTGTATCTATATATTTATGTATGCGATGTGATCTAGCAGGACGAAGCTGAAGCAGACGGAGGTGGACTGCGAGTACCTACGGCGGTGCTGCGAGACGCTGACGGAGGAGAACCGCCGCCTGCAGAAGGAGCTGCAAGAGCTGCGAGCACTAAAAGCTTCGTCAAGTCCATTCTACGCTCAGCTCCCCGCCACCACTCTCACTATGTGTCCGTCCTGCGAGCGCGTCGCCACCGCATCCAGATCGGCGCCGCCGCCGCCGCCGCCGGTGACAAAGCCCGCTTCTTTCTTCCCTTTCAAAAAAACGCCGCCGCCCGCCGCGTCGTCGTGAAATATACTTATTTTTATACAATTAAATTTGGATTCGGAGAACATCGTCGTCGTCGTCGTCGTTGGATTATTATTATTATTTTTTTTTTCGTTAGTTCTTCGTGTGTGTATGTATAGAATCAGAATAAGAAAACAGATGGTTTTGATGTAATTTTTTTTGTTTTTTTGAAATTGTGTGGTGGTTTCAGATTGAGCGAGTTTTTATTTTTAGCTCATTCATACTGCAGATTGATTATGAATACAAAAAAAGATCGAGTTTTTTTTTCTTTTTTGTCTTTTTTGTTTAGGTGGGTTGGAAGGTCCCGGGAGCTGGGGGGCGGAAGGATCGGGACCATTGTTTTAGTGGGGTCCACAGCAATGAATGGCTGGGATGGAAATGAATGATATTGGAATTGATGAGGCGTGGGGGGGACAAAGGTGGCAAATTTATGAAAGTGTCTGCTAAAGTTGGGGTGCCCTTTATGACACACCAATTATTACAAGTACATTCTCCCATTATTGATCCCCACGTGACCCCCTCACGTGACTCTCTCTCTCTCTCTCTCTCTCTCTCCTTCTCTCTCACTCATCCTAATATATATATTTAGGGATTTGCCTCAACGAATGCCAATCTATTATACTAATGGATAAATATATTGTAATTTTTTTTATTCAACAATATAATAGTGTATTAATGATCTTACAAACCTATTAAATTAAAGTGAAAAGAACACTATTAAAAAGAAAAGGAATGATATGTTACAAAAATGTTTATATATATTTTTTGAATTTTTTTTATTGATTGAAAATAGTAGAAAATTGAATAAATATATATATGCAGATATAAATAAATATTTAATATAATATTTTAAAATTCTAATATATTCCTTCTGTCATCCAAATCTATATATATTTTATTTTATTTTATTTTTTGCAAAAGAGTACATTAATTTTGTGTGCATTCTTATCATAGAAAGAAAATAATAACTATTATTATTTATTTTTATTAAATTTCGTGTCCAAATATTTGAATACATATTTTGATAACTAGGGAGTGATATTTTTTAGTACACTTTTTCATGAATAATGTAAAAATAAGTTTGAAAACTTAAACAAAGCGTAAGATCTCTCTGTAGCTCTACATATACTAAATAAAATTCTTCATTTTTGTTTTTTCGAATTTTTATTGTCAATAATTAATGTTATAAAAACATGTGCTCATACTTTTAAACACAAGTTTTACAAAATAAAATAGTATGAATATAAAATCTAAATACAAAAATAACACATCACATAAGGATCACAAGATGAATCGATTTAAATAATTTTCTTAACAGTGTTTTCAGTCAACAAAAATGTTTATGTTGTCGTTCAATCATGTAATTTTATTGGCATAACATGAATAATTTGTCAGAATAATTGTTTTATTGAGTAATAATACTGTTTTATCTAATCATAATAATACTACCACCACATTCTTTTTCAAGAATAATAATAAAAAAAAATCAAAATTAATATATCTCATCCCCACACAAAAACCCTAATCACACTAAGCATGGCTTTTATTATTATTATTATTATTTATTCCATGTTGTGAAAATTTGTAATCACTAATTTTCAAATATATATTTAAACAAAAAAAAAAATCGAAGTAAAGACCTTATTATTATTATTATTATTATTGTAAGAGATGAGAGTGCCCTGGCGTGGAAGGTCAGAAAACATTGGTGACAAAGAAAAGCCCATAAATGAAATTTTAGATTATATTTTGGATGATTGTATAAAGCAACCGACCATGGCCCCATTGCATCATCATTAACAATATTATTATATGATTAATTTATTTATTTATTTATTGATTAATTATAATTTATTTAATTATTTAATATATATATATATATATATGAAGGTGAAAAGGGACATGTCATCATCACCTGTCTTGATCACTACAGGTGAAACAGAGAAAGGCTTAATTAATTATTTAATTCACATACGTATAATAAATTAATTAAAATTAGTCTAATTACATTACATGTTATCAACCCCTTAATTGATTTGTGCTTTTCTTGTTTATTTTCAATTTAAATTTTTATTTTTAATTAATTTTTCATCCCTCATTTATTTTTTGCAGTGTTTTGTGTTTCTTTCTAATATGGGTATTTTTATTTTTTATTTTTATCTGGGCTGTGTTGTCTGTACGCAAATGATCATAAAGTGAGCGGATTCTTGGCAGGGGCGTGGAGCTGGGGACCTGGGAGAGTCCTGTCAAGTGTGGATTGATGGAGGGAGTTCAGGACCAGGGGCTATGTAAAAAATATTAGGTTGGGTTTGTTCTGATTTCCCACCTAAACCAATACATACATGTAACTATGTAAGAGGTTTTCAGCAATCACCAAATAATTCATAATTAATTAATCACACAAAAAGGGAGACAATGGGTAGGTTTTATTTATTTATTTATTTATTTATTTTTAACAGTGATTAATTGTGGTGATTTGTAAGAAAATAATGTATATATATAATTGCAATGATTAGATAGTAGAAAAAAATTAAAATGAAAATTCAAAACAAGAGCAGTCTTAGTCAAGGAAATTCGGAATTTTCCACACGGTATTTCTTTTGCAACTATTCCTATAATCTCTTTATATATATATTTTATGCTTTGATTTTTTATTTTTTTTATAAAGTAATTTTACGTTGTAATGGTATATTTGTAATTTAGATAAAAAGTAAGAATACTACGAAAATAGTAAAAAAAATACTTTGAATTAATGCGGATGAGGAGTAATACTTAAGGCTATGTTTATATATATTTGAAAATTTTATACTTCATCAGTTTCACTTAACTTGTTGACTCTTTCATAATTTATTTATTTTTTTGTAAAGATATAATTATACTTTAATCATATTTTAAAATTCATAATTTATAATTTTTAAAATTTTAATTTTAATTCATAATTATTCATATTAAATTATGATTATTTATACTAATATATTTTTTAATTACTTATTAATTACACAATATTTAAAATTTCACCCTAAACTAAAACAAACAAATTAGGTGGACGAATGAAGTATTATTTATCAAAATTATTTTTTCCATTTTTTAGATATCAAATAAAATACTAAACTTTCGACTATAATCAAAATTTAAAAATTTCTATTTAAACTATGTTTAAATAAAAAATAAAAAATATAGGAACAGCGGACAAACAAAAAATGAATTTAGAAAAGATTTTGGTGTGGGAGTAGGTGGGTGGGTTGGTGGGCACTCATTATGACCATCATTACAATATTATTATTATTATTATTATTATTATTATTATTATTATGTTGAATATCAGTATGTCACAATGCATGCATTGTGTACATATGAGTGGTCAAAAAAGATCTGTAAATTAATTCAATGGTTATTGATCCTCATATTTTTCAAGGATGATGATTATTTGAGATAGACTCAAAGACTCCAATATATATTATTTTGGGTGAAAAATATATATATAGTAAATTTCAATTATTGACCAGCCCATTACGTGTATCTACATATACATATAATATATATATATATTCTCAAATCATCAATCCAGCAGCACTTGTTTTATAGTTATGCCATGTTTGAAAGTGTACAAGATTTTGCAGAATATTAATTTAAGAGTTTGACTCAAAAAAATTTAATAAAATAAATAGTATGAAACTTCAGTAAGATTTCAATTTTGCTAACGAGAATATAATCTAGTCTAGTCAATACATTTGTCCTAATGTAAAAATAAATAAATTTGTTTCAGCCCACGTGCCAGAAATATTAATTTACACTTGCAACCGTTGAATCACCTATTCCGAACCTGATACAATAAATAAATATAACACACTTCGTTTAAAATAATGTTGAGCTATTAACTATAGTAGAAATAAAATCTACAAATAACGACTACGGATTCCCAAATCATAGAAAAAAAAAAAAAAAAAAATTGCAATCGACATACAAACATACCATCTTCATCATCGCATAGTGCCCCGAGCTTTGCAATAGCATCGACAAGAGCTTGTTCTTGGTCCTGTTTTATCGACATGTTTTAAGACCGATAAATTTATTCAAACAAATTCATAGACAAGATAGAATGCCGGAACATTGATATTTTTCTAACCTTTAGCACTTTTTGCGCCTTCTCGATTTCCACAGGGTCGGGATGTTGGGCGCCGAAGACCCTTTCGACCTGCCAAAGTTACAAAGTTAATTCATCGTAATTGTAGAAGATATCTATACCTTAGTAACTCCAAAAATTACCTCTTCGATTAGGACATCTGTGTCAAGCAACCGTATTTCATCGTTGTTCTTGAGATCCTTCTGGGATCGACTACTTATTGCACCCCTACCTTTTAGGCCTCCTCGAGGATTAACCTGATGAAATGGATATGTGCCTACCCATTGGATATCTTTAGGAGAAATCTGAAAGACATAACTAGCCGTTAAGTATGCAAAACACCGAATATTTCAAATTATGTCTCCGTATCACACAATGATAAATATTCAGAAAAAGAAAAAAAATAAAAATGCATCGACCTCGGAAATATTCACCCATTCCCATGATTCATTAGGAGCATCCATATTATAGAGTACGGCGTGAAGATCCTATAAAAAAACACAAATATTTAAGCTATGAATGAATATAAAGTAAGTCGATAATTCACCAAAAGCGACGCGTACCTTGGCAGCATCATAATCCGATATTATTCCTTCGTAAAAATTACCATCTACAGGCCACCTAGTTCTAATTTTCTTTCCAACCAATGGATCAATTTCAATATCTTCTATCCTAGTCGTTTTATTTTCCAATCGACGTCTTCCACGCCGTGCTTTTGGAGATGGAGATGGCCTTTCAGTCTTTTGCCTTTTTTGCGAAGTTGAAAAAGAACTATCAGCAACAGGTTTAGAAGCACGAAATCCACTCCCCGTTGATTGTCGCCACTCCCTAATAGAATTTAAAAACTTAGTACATTACAAAACAGAGTAATAAGTTCTTCGACGATTATATAAACTATAAACAACAAACAACCTTATTTTTTGGATTGTTTCATCTTCATTAACCTTTTTGCAAAGCTCTATGTGATCTTCATTCGATATTCTCAACTCTTTCCTCAGCTGAGTAATAAAACTTGACTTCTCCTGGAAAAACATATTTCATTACCATTCAATCCGATCCAACAAAATGCAGTATTAGATATCCATGTTTGAATTAAATTGTACCCAAGTTATAGAATCAGCTTGAGCTCTAAATGCTCGTAGAGCTGAATAATATCCATCCCTTTCAAGCTGACGAATTTTAGCTTCAATTTTAGCATCTTCGCATACCATGGGATAAGACATTGAAGCCGCAGCTGTAGCAATCCTTTTGTTGCCAGAAACTGTGCCTCCTCTCGACATTCGATTTTGAATTCGAGGAAGAAAATCGTCATCAGTTCCTTCTACAACAGCAAAATACAAAAGGAATACAAAATCAAATTAGGTTTTCGACAAGATTGGCATTCCAATTTACTTCAGAAACTCAAGTGCTCAGCAACAAACATTGATCATAAAATATCCTAAATCAAAATAAACCCAAAATTTCCGACGACGACGTAAAATAAAAATTCAAAGCGATTACTCACCACTGCTTTCGTAGGAGTTGTAATCCATTGTTAGCTTTCGCAATCAGAATATTCAAAATTTACTTTGATCCTGAATCAGAAATTTCCAATGAACCCTGGAGATTGAAGTAGCTGTTTGGAAAACATAAAAGTTAATACGTATTTATAGACTCTCCAGTTTATAAATTTTGATTTTCTGATATGATTCCTATAATCTAGCGATATAATAAAATTGTATCTCAATCCTGTAAATTTACATTCGGATAGACGAGATTCGAGCATATCCATGGAGCATACAAAATACGATTTAATTAGTAGAAACAATTATCAAATAAACCCTAATTAATATTAAACGAAATTGAATTGCAGTAAGACAATTCCAATCTCCCCTCCCTACTTCGATTTCGATTCTGAAGTCTTCCAATTGCGCAGCAATATTCAACCGGTGAATTCGACGTTTAATCGCGAACGACAGCAGTCCATTCTACTCCGGTATCGACGCCGCTGAACTGTGGCTGAAATTTCTGCGCCGGATTTTTCCGGCAGCTCAGAGACCGGTTTCCTCCGGCGAACAGCGACGGAGCAGCTGGCAGTGGCGAACTTCAATCTTGATCTCCGGCGGCGACTCACGGTGCGACTAAAAGCTCTTCTCCTATAGCGTCGGACGGATCGGGGACGGTTCGGACTTTAGTTTAATATTAATTTTGATTCGATTTATTTATAATATGGGTTTTTTAAAATTATTGTTTCCGCTAATTACGTCGTATTTTGCGTCATCTTAACCTTAAAAATATTTTATAAATGTTATTTTTTTTATCTTTTGTTATCTTTATTTGTATTGATATATTTTCATTATGACTATTATGTCTATTTTATAACTAGAATTATTAGTAAAAATAGAATAAAAATAATTATAAATTAAAAAATTTAATACAAAATTAAAGTATAATTTTTTTAAAAAAAATTGATAAAATAAACTCTTATACTCTTAGAGCATGACAGAGGAAATATACAATATTTTATTCAAATAAGCTTATAGGATATAATTTCACATGAAAAATAATACTCAACATTCAATTTTATGGATCTTGGATCTAAATTCACAACAAAAATAATACTCAACATTCCCTCTTGAGACAATATCATCTCCAAGTTACGGATACTATAAGAGAATCTCAGTATTAATTTCAATTTGGAATACGTAACAATTGTTAGAATTAATTGAATAAACTATATTTTCATTGTTTTCAATTAGGGTACAATATTATATTTATACAAGAGATATATTAGGTAGGGATATACATATCTAAATATATACAATATATATCAACATACCCCAAACTCAAGGTGGAACGGTGGAACCCAACTTGAGTTTTCTCAAGAATGACTGAAAACGGCCGGGAAGATGAGGCTTGGTGAATCCGTCGGCAGTCTGATCAGCAGAGGGAATGGAAGACAATGAGATGTTTCTATGAGCAACGTGATGACGTACAAAGTGACAGTCGATCTCAATGTACTTCGTACGCTCGTGGAAGACATCATTCGTCGAAATCTTCATGGAGCTCTGACTGTCGCAATGGATAATAGTGGCAGAGGACTGAGGCACTCCGAGATTAGCCAGCAGCTAGCGAAGCCATAGAAGCTCGGCAGTGGTGTCGGAAAGAGCTCTATATTCGGACTCTGCACCGGACCGGGAGACAACCGTCTGTTTTTTGTTGCGCCACAAAATAAACGAGTCGCCAAGGAAGAAGCAAAACCCGGTGGTCAAGCGGCGATCAGAGAGATCTCCCGCCCAATCAGCGTCAGAATACCCGGTCAAAACTAAAGAAGAATGAGTTGAATAACGAAGCCCATGAATGAGAGTACCTTTGATGTACCGGAGAATTCGTAGAACAACAGAATGATGAGTCGTCCGAGGAGCAGACATAAACTTGATTGACGATATGGACGGCATAGGCAATATTAGGTCGAGTGACAGTCACGTAGATCAGACTTCCCACCAGCTGACGATACAGAGTAGGATCATCAAGGGGGACGCCGTCCATCGAAGTAAGACGACAATCAGAATCAAGAGGCGTAGGGGCAGTCTTCGAGTCAGTGAGACCGGCACTAGATAGGAGGTCGGAGGGATACTTGGCTTGAGAGAGATAATATCCATCGGAGGTGTCGGAGATCTCAAGTCCTAAGAAGTACCGAAGAGGCCCTAGACTCTTCATCTCAAAGTGGCGATGTAGATGAGCCACAGCTCAGAGATACCTGATGCATCATCTCCCGTAATGATCATGTCATCTACATAAAGTAGTAAAACAGTAATTCCAGCTGACCCACGTCGAAGAAAGAGTGTCGAATCATGATCGCTGGAAGTAAAGCCAAGCTGGAGTAGAGCAGAGCTAAATTTCGAAAACCAAGCTCGAGGTGCCTGTTTCAACCATATCCCACGTATGGGTTTTCTCCAAAGCCTGCAACTCCTCAGACATAGCCTGCCGCCCCAACGGATCCGCATACGCCTCACGAAAGGACATTGGCTCATGGTGGGACAAAGTGGCAGAGAAGCAGTGATAATCAAGTAAGTGAGTAGGAATGTGACTAACCCGAGTGGAACGGCGAGGGCCAGGATCAGGATCAGGGTCTGAGATCGAAGTAGTGTCAGGCTCTGGTGATGGTGATGTATCGGAGTCAAGAGTAGAAGTAGGCTCGGGGATCAGCGTCGGTTTAGGAGGCGCAACCAGGACAACGTCAGGAGCGGGCGAAGGGGCCGTGTCATCGGAGGGGAATGGAGGTGGAGAGGACAAGGCAAAGAACGGAGACGAACGATCAAAGGGGACTCGAAAGTGGGACAAGGTAGAGAATTTAGTATTCTCCCAGAATGTGACATGACGAGAAATACGTAGCCTATTGGAAATGGGATCCCAACAACGATAACCCTTATGCTCTAACCCGTATCCCAGGAAGCAACACAGACGCGTGCAGGGTTCTAACTTAGTGCGCTCATGAGGAGGGAGGAGGACAAAATTGACACACAACCGAAAGTGCGGAGAAGACTATAATCAGTGGCACGATCAAATAGTCTTTCAAATGGACTGACATTACCCATGACAGAGGAAGGGATACGATTTATAGTGTGGACAGCAGTGAGTGCGGCTTCCCTCCAAAAGCGATCCGGACAAGAGGCAGATAAGAGAAGGGTGCGGACTGTATCGAGGATATGTCGGTGTTTACATTCGGCGCGACCATTTTGTGGAGAGGTGTATGAGCAGGAGCGTTGGACAACAGTACCCTCATCAGATAGGAAACGGAGGAAGGATGAATCAGTATACTCAAGAGCATTATCTGTGCGAAGAATTTTTATGATGGAGGAAAATTGGGTATGACCGATTCTGTCGTCTTCTCAAGCTAATGACCGATTGAAAATTTCCAAGTATAATATTAAACATTATTTGTTTGAATAATGTCATAGTTCAAATAATGTTTAATTTGAGACGGGTGTTAAAAAGTGTATTTAATTAGGATTTTATTAGATTTTAAAATATTTGTAGATACACCTGTCGCGCGGTCAATCAAATATTTTACATACTCCGTGATCATAATTTAATATAATATAGGGGAAGAGATCGTCTCCACAGGGATTGTGTGATTCACTCTTTCGTATTCTAATGCAGTAAATAAAGGGGGATTTTATTTTATTATCTAATTAAAATAAAATAACAAAACAATTAAATTAAAGGGGAACTGACTATCAAAGGTATATCTGGCTGAAGGGATGATGCAGTTATGGCACTTATGTTTTATCATTAATTCAATAAAATTAATTCTTATTAAAGTATCAATAAATTGGTTATAGTTATCAACGAGCTCTGACAACCAATTTTTCCTTACAGTGTAGGTAATTAAGGTACGATTGTTAACTACCCCTAATTAAGCAAATAAACCTAGGTGCGCCCATAAGAATATTGCCTAACCGCATTGTAATCTAGAAAAACCCAATTCAAAACAATTACTACCTAAGAGAAGCAATTAGATTTGATTGTCTAACCCCCGGGAAGGTAATATTCAACCCGGTTATCACCTATTCAAGTGCGAATACAATTACGAATATCCTATTTGAATTGACTTTAGATTATCAGACTAATTTAAATATCGGTACCAAAATATTCAATCAATCTAACAATCACAAACGCTATTCTCAGAATTAGACAAATATTGATAATCAAAAAGAACTTTTATAAAGAAATTCAAGAATCTCCAAAACAAAAGAACCAAAACATTATCATCCCTCAAAACAGAAAAGTATCTACTCCATAATTAAATAGCAAAGAACAAAAGAGAAAGATGAAGTCATAGTGGGAGGGGGAAATTTTCTCTGTTGATTTGCTCCTGCGCGATCTATGGATCTGTCAGTTTCCTGCTCCCGTGCGTATCTGCCCTAGTTGTTCTCCCCCTTTTAAAATGTGTGATCCCTCCTTTTATTTAATGTTTGCTCTAGTTATTTTGTAAATGGGATTTTGGGCCTTTAATTAATTTTTTTTCTTTTTTCTGCCAATTATACCAAATTTAATATTTGCCCTCTGCACACCGCAAATAAACAATTCGCATATAAATTAGGTAGAATCCAATCAAAATCACCCAATGCATATGATATGAATATAAAACGCATGCGATTTCTAACTATTAGTATTTAATTAGGATTTTATTAGATTTTAAAATATTTGTAGATACACGTAGATTTAGATTTTATTTCTGGATTTTGATAAACATAATTGAAATATTTATTGATTTGCATGAATTTAATAATATTAATAAAATTATAAAAAAATTATTTTTATTAATTTATATGATTTTCATAAATTCATATATATAATAATATTTTTATAACTAAATTAATTATATATTATTATATTTTTAAAAAAATAAAATTAATATCAATAAATATGATATAATTATTAGTGATATATATATATAAAAAAAATAATATAACATTATTTTTTATATTAATAGTTTTTATTTTATAATCTTTTATTATATTATCATTGAATATATGAATATTTTAAAATTGGGCTTTTAAATTGGGCTTTAGGTTTACCCATTCACTGGACCCAAGCTGGGTTTTAGCTTAATTAGATAATATGCTGCTATCTTGCGTTGCCCCTGTTTTTTAGTACAATAGAATAAAAATAATTGTTTAATTTAATATATTTATTTTTAAAAATGACATCTAATACCTTTTTCAGTTATTTAAAAAAATATCCAAATTTTTTAGTACATTTTGTTTAACGTGGGTATATATTTTTTATTATTGTAGTAAAAAAAATACAAAAACAATAATTTTTTACGAAGAATTTTTTTTTTATAGATAAATATAAAGAAAAGCAAACATATTTATATATAACATAGGAAGCAATATATACTTTTCGCTGTTAGAGTCATTTTTTTTGCTTTTTCCATTAAAATTTGTCCGTTAGTACGAAGTAATATAGTACTTCATCCATCCCAAATAAGGTGCAACATTTGTTTTGAACACGGGTTTTTAGGTGGGTAGTGTTAAGTAAGATATTTAATACTTAAGTGATCTGATGGAGAAAGAAATGTATATTTCTATTTTAGAAATGTTCCAGGGTGTATGGGACAGAGGGAGTACTTTTTACATGTGTTAAATTTAATTATAATTTTTTTTCAATA